AAAAATCTGTTAATTTTTTTTTTTTTGAGATAGAGTCTCACTCTGTTGTGCAGACTGGAGTGTAGTGGCATGATCTCAGCTCACTGCAAACTTTGCCTCTGGGGTTCAAGCGATTCTCCTCCCTCTGCCTCCTGAGCAGCTGGAATTACAGGTGTGTGGTATCACATCCAACTAATTTTTTATTTTTAGTAGAGATGGAGTTTCACTATGTTGACCAGGTTGGTCTTGAACTCCTGACCTCTAGTGATCCACCAGCCTCGGCCTCCCAAAGTGCTGGGATTACAGGCCGTGAGCCACCATCCCTGGCCAGGAATGATTTTTTCTTACCAGCAAAATTGTTGTTTCCATCAACTTTTTTGTTGCATTATGTATAAAATTATGCAAAATATACCACCTTGATTTCTCATGTTGAAGAGCTATGTCCTCCCTAGAAGGGAGTTTGCTATTTCCCTGAGCCTTCTTCTTACCATTGGGTGGTAAGTTTTTATCACTGAATATGTCAGCTGTATGTCATTTCTCATCCTCTGATGAGTACACTCTGACAGGATTTGTAAAAACATCATTTTGGTTTTTACCGTAGTTATCTATCCTTGCTTGAATACTTTAGTTTTTGGTATATGCTGACAGATGGCTGAGGTTTACAGTGAAATCTAATGTGAACTTTAGAATTTATACTAAAATAGACACACTGTTCAGGGGTTTCTCAGGCTCTTCCATCTCCATCAGATGCTTCTTACATCAAATAAGAAATAGTAAGAAATAGTTGTTTTTCTAGAATATCTTATGATAGCACTTTAAGGTAAAAAGTCTTTATGAACATTTAAGAAGGGAATGCATAAGCAAAGGCTTAAGAAAACTACTGCTGAAGGATTGGGCTTAATAGGAATGAAGAAACTATGCTATCTAACCGGAATGTTGTATAATCCACCTTTCTTAGAATTCCTTTTTCATTTTTCAAAACATAACTCATTTAAAATCAAGATATTTATATGAACTTCTCTTTAAGAAGCTGTTTTGGAGCTCTCCCGTAAGATGCTTATAGTTTGCTTTTTAAAGAAAAGCCTTATGGAAATTGAAGATGATGATGATGATGATGATTTAGACAGAGTCTCACTCTTGTCACCCAGGCTGGAGTACAGTGGCACCATCTCAGTTCACTGCAACCTCTGCCTCCCAAATTCAAGCAATTTTCCTGCCTCAGCCTCCTGAGTAGCTAGAATTACAGGCAAGCACCACCATGCCCAGCTAAGTTTTGTATTTTAGTAGAGGTGGGGTTTCACTATGTTGGCCAGGCTGATCTCAAACTCCTGACCTGAGGTGATCCACCCTCCTCGGGTTCCCAAAGTGCTGGGATTACAGGCATGACCCAATACGCCCGGCCAGATTAGTTTTCTTAACAAATTATTCCCATTCATTGTAATTAGTATTAGCAGTGAGCATCTTTGAATTCCTTATATTGATTTGTGTCTCTCATACTGATGAATGGATAACAATCAGATTGTTGTAGGAAGAGAAGTGATTTGTTTGAAGACCATTTCAGCCTTAGGAAACAAATATACGAACTTACAGAAGGCTAAAAAGCTGTGAAAATATTTGTGCTCATTTGTAATACAGACATAGAAAAGATATGTTAGAACTGAAAGAGAGCATCCTGCTTAATCCCTTAATTTTATAGATGAGAACTCTAAGCCCAAAGATGAGTGGCTTCTATAAGGTTACATAGACAATGAACATGAAACTCTGGGTCTTAATGGTCCCATATTCAGTGCTCCTTTCACCACAAGGCAACCAAAATATTTTTAAATACTGCTGGAATTATATTTAAACATATAGAAATGCCCACTTATTGACTGAAAGCCAAACATGTCTATTTTTTTTTCTTTTTAATATTATCAGGCTTACTTCTTTGAGAAGTCCATATTATTTTTCTTGGTTCTCTAGTGGTGATATTAAATATCTTGGTTTCCAATTCAGTATCACACTGAAAATACTTTGTACTTTGTGTCCAATCAATGGATAATAGCTTTTTTGTCCACAAATCATCTAATTTTTGTTTTAGATTATAAACTCCTGGACAGCAAGAACATTGAGAATTTCCTATTTGGTACAGCTCATGTAAGGTGCACTTTGGAACTCTATTTTAAAAAAGTGTCTTAACATGAAGTGCTTCTTCTTTCAAGTTCTTATCTTATACAATGTCTGCACTCCGGGGCAACCCTGTGTCTATGTTCTGTGTGGCATATACTCCCTGTGAGCATTTGCTAAATGATAGTCAGTGATAAGCTTTGGCTGTGTCCCCACCCGAATCCCATCTTTTTTGTTTGTTTGTTTGAGACAGAATCTCACTGTGTTGCCCCAGCTGGAGTGCAGTGGCATGATCTTGGCTCACTGCAACCTCTGACTCCCAGATTCAAGTGATCCTCCTGCCTCAACCTCCCAAGTAGCTGCGATTACAGTAATGCACCACCACATCCAGCAAATTATTTTTTTATTTTTAGTAGAAATGGGGTTTCACCATGTTGGCCAGGCTGGTCTCGAAGTCCTAATCTCAGGTGATCCACCTGCTTTGGCCTCCCAAAGTGCTGGAATTGCAGGTGTGAGCCACTACACATGGAACCAAATCTCATCTTGAATTGAGTTCCCATGATCCCCACATGTGGTGTAAGGGACCTGATGAGAGGTAATTAAATCATGGGGGTGATTACCCCCATGCTGTTCTTATGATGAGTAAGTTCTCATGAGATCTGATGGTTTTAAAAGGGGCTTTTCCCCCTTTGCTTGGCACTTCTCCTTCCTGCTGTCATGTAAGAAGGATGTGTTTGCTTCCCCTTCCACCATGATTGTAAGTTTCCTGAGGTCTCCCCAGCCATGCTGAATTGTGAGTTAATTAAACCTCTTTCCTTTGTAAATTACCCAGTCTTGGGTATGTCTTTATTAGCAGCAATAAAATAAATCAATACAGTCAGTATAATAGGAATTATTACTATTCTAGTTCCGTTTCATCTATTTCCTTTACAAAGCCTGCTCTTCTACAAACTAGCTAAAGAAGCTGATCACATGGAAAGTATTTCATTTTTATACAGTCTTTAAAGGTCTACTTTCAGTTCATCATTAAATAACCTAATTGTGGAATCTGAAAATTGGAAGAAACATTGGAAAGCAATCTCTGTGGCTACCCTGGAAAAATATTTTAAACAAAAGTTTAAAAATCCTCAACACCCCTTCAACAAGTAACATAGGTTACAGCAACTAAAATTAGTTATTTTATATCCGGTATAAATCCTTATTATGAAAAAGGAATCCCGTGACTTACATTTGTGTCTCCTATGGAAAGATTATTTAACAAATGGGTAGTATAGATCCTGAACAGGTAGAAAAAGAACTTCTGTTTTCTTAAGATCTTTAAAGGCCAGGCATGGTGGCTCACACCTATAATCCCAGCACTTTGGGAGGCCAAGACAGCAGATCACTTGAGGCCAGGAGTTTGAGACTACCCTGGGCAACATGGTGAAACCCCATCTCTACTAAAAATACACATATTAGCCAGGTGTGGTGGCATGGGCCTATGGTTCCAGCTACAAGAAAGGCTGAGGTGGGAGGATTGTTTGAGAGTGAGAGGTCAAGGCTTTAGTAAGCCCAGATCATACTATTTCACTCCAGCCTGCATAACAAAGTGAGACTCTGTCTCAAAAAAAAAAAAAAAAAAAAAAAAAAAAAAAAAAAAAAAAGATATAAACAGGGACTAAATTATGCCTTGTATTTGAATTCAGGAACCTTCCTTCTGGAAGCCAAGGTTTGTTGCTCCCCTCCCCCATCCCCCAACCCTCTCAAATTATAGTCACTTCTATTGGGCATGGGCAAGTAAAACCTGACGGACTGTCTTAGGGCTTGCCTGGGAACATTTATTTCCCTGTTTACCCTTCAAAGTGAATCACTCCTAAGGTTGACTTTAATTAATTCTGATGTAATTCACTTCCTTTCATTTAATAATTATTAAAAATTTCAGGGCAGGGTACAGTGGCTCATGTCTGTAATCCAGCACTTTGGGAGCCCAAAGTGGAATGATTGCTTGAGCCCAAAAGTTCGAGACCAGCCTGGGCAACATAGTAAGACCCCATCTCTACAGAAAGTTTAAAAATTAGCCAGGCATGTTGGCATGTGCCTCCCAACTACTTGGGGGACTGAGACGGGAAGATCGCCTGAGCCCACGACTCAAGTCCCTTGCTTGAGTCAAGGCTGCAATTAGGTATCCCACCACTGCACTCCAGCCTAGATGACAGTATGAGACTCCATTAAAAAGAAAAATAAAAGAAAGAAGCAGGACAAGCAAATACATATATCTTTTTAAAGACAGTTATTAAGAGATTTTTAAAAAATCGAGACAGGGTCTCCCTTTGTCAACTGGGCTGGAGTGCAGTGGCACAATCTGGGTTCAATGTAGCCTCAAACTTTCAGGCTCAAGCCATCCTCCCACCTTAGCCTCCCAAGTAACTGGGACCACAAGCTTGTACCACCACACCCTGCTAATTTTTGTATTTTTTGTAGAGATGATGTTTCGCCACGTTGCCCAGGCTGGTCTCGAACTCCTGAACTCAAGCAATCTGCCCACCTCAACCTCCCAAAGTGCTGGAATTACAGGCATGAAAAACTGCACCCAGTCCCATAATCTTTATAGCACTCCTTTACCAAAGAAAAATTATACTAAACATTTAGATTTTCACAGATAATACTGTGAACATACAGCTGGCAGTTCTGAGCTGGAAACTCCTTTGTCATTCAGGAAATTTTCTGGAGTAATCACCTTCCTGATTCCAGTTCCTGGGGGCAGGACAACTGAAGATGGAGGGCCAGAAGAAACACCCTAGTCAGAAAGCTGCACAGCGTTCAGACAAAATCTAGTTGGAGAAGAAAGCCGTTTTCATAATTTAGCGAGCTTCCCCAGCTAGCCTGTAGGTGGGTGTGTTTAACAGAAGGAAGCAATGGGAACCCGCCTGTCAGCCAGCCTTTCGAGCTAATTAGCTCAGCATACAACAAAGATAAGTGAGCCTGGGAAGAGGGCCCCCTGAGGGGTCTTTAGATTCTGGGAAATGTCTGATTGGCAGATGTTAAAAGGGATTCTTTGGTAATCCAGTGCATCAATGAGCTGCAGAAATTCAGCCCAGGACTGCAAGAATTCAGGCATGAGGACACTCTGTGCAGGAGGCTCACACAGGCAGACCCAAGATGGACAGAACCTTGGAATCTCTGAGACACATCATTGCCCAAGTCTTGCCTCACAGAGATCCGGCTCTAGTCTTCAAAGACTGTAAGTACTGAAGGGGAAAAAGTTTTTTTGACTTTTTAGAAAATAGTCCTAAATGTCTAGTCACATCCTATTTAAGTACAATTTCTCCTAAATCTCTGTGGTAGTATGCTGTGTTCTAAGTGATATTTTAACTTCTTCCTGACTTCAGTCAGAAGAATTTCATTTCACCTACAGGCATTAGGCGCTGGGTTATTTTGTCAGTGGTACATCTTGCTAACGATTTAAAAGTCTCTTCTACAATCCAAGACCCGACTAAGACTTAATGAACTTTTTCTGATGCTTTTTAAGTAAAGCAAAGCTGAGTGGTACTGAGATTAAACCTAAAAATAACTTGGAAATAATACTAAAATATATCAATATTTGTTAACCTGCTTAATACTCCACAACACATATTAGTTCTATTAATTCAAGGATACTGTTTGTCTGAAAATTTTTGTTGCAAACCAGAATTAACAATAAATCAGCACTGAGCTTTTAAATTTTGATGACCGATTATAATGCTTTAGCTAAAAGGCCAATAAAATGAGTTGCCTCCCAACCTCAGCAACACTCCCTGTGGGGACCCACCCCACCACCACCAATTTATACAGCATGGCAAAGTTATTTCAAAATCTTTTTAATGATTTAAAAATAATTCAATCAAGATTTCCAATTCTAGCAATACTATTAAGCCATTTGTCATATAACTTCGTTTCTGGAACCAATTTGATTTCTTGCTGCTGCAAAACAGACTGTCTTCATGTTGTATCTTATCTACAGTGGGTTTCACATTACAAAGGGCTTCTGAAATAGAACTTTGCCATGGAACTGCCCAAAAGGTAAAATGCACATGGAATTTTTTTTTTTTTAAACTTCAATAGGTTGCAGCTTTCCTCTTTGTGAATCTAGTTATGTTTGCCTCCATCAAAACATCAATGGTTTGAATTTTTGCTTTCTGATTGCTGAATAATGTTCCTTTCCAGATGTCCTCTTAGCTTAGATTTCTCATATGTATGCTGAAGAAAGAGGAATGTCAGGCCATTCGATTCTATAAATTTTTCCTCTTAGATGTTAAATTGTAACCAATCTGTCCTTCAAGGGATAAAGTGAAAGCCTTTTCTTTCTCTCTCTCTTTTTAAATATTGTCTTTAAGCATTTGCCAATAGCTATGTTAGATCTAATAAAAATCACTCTCTCCACTACTCTAGCCTGGAGTCTATTCAGGTTTGTTATGTTTTTTAAGCTAAAAGGGAAGGAAAGAATGTCTCTCTTGTACAATAGAACTGAATTCACTAGTGAGGGATAAAAGGGCTCTGGGGCTGCCCATGCTTTGGATAAATTGTATAGGACCAGGGGTCTTATGCTGAGGGTTTAAATAGTGGAAGCAGTTAAAAAAAAGTAGGGGGGAAATTTGTCACTGGCTCATTGAAAATTTAGCAAGTTCAAAACTGAAATTGTATGGCTCACTTTCCAGCTGAACTAAATTACAGCACTTGTTTACAGTTTAGAAGAGAGAAGATAAAGACTACAAAAAGGATTACAATAATGCATTAAGTTCTGTCATCCAGGACTTTGCAGGACTTATTTTACATGGGAGAACAAATAAGTGTCCTGTTTTATATATTTCCTTCATTAACATAGAACCTAAATTTGACCAGAGAGCATGGACTGCTACTCTGCAACTGCTTCCGTGGCTTAGAAGATGTAAATGTTAAACTGCTGATTCTCTCCCTTCTTTTCTAATCTGAAAAGTGACTAACTGACAGTAAGCCAAATGGCACACTTCTGTACCAGGAGTTTTCCTAACATTAAAACATCCAACCACTTACCAATCTCATGAAATGAGTAAGTGGTAATGGGCTTACTTTCTGGGACAGGACACCAAAAATCTGTCTAGAGCCTATGCCATTGCCCTGGCAAGCTGTAGGTGTTGCACATGCCACAGTTTGGCATATGGATCCATTTTCTTTGGCATAGCCATAAGTTGCTGCCACCACACTCCTATTGGCAGCCTGTAAAAAGCTGCCACCAGCCTTGAATGGCAGGTTCTGAGCAGTCCCCTCCCCTCCTAGTCACTCCTGGCTCCTCCTCCACTCTAACCGGCTCCAAGCTCTTTCTGCCAGAAGGAAAGAGCTGAGCACTTGAGCACATCACTGCCAATTCCTTAAGAAAAATTGCTACCTTACTTTCCTACAAGATGAAAGCTGATCCAATAATTTTTAAAACCCAGCCCAGCTGAACAAAAGAGAACACACACACACACACACACACACACACATACACACACACCCCCCACTTAAATTTTTTCTAAATTTCCCTTCCATGAATGCAAACACAGTTTTTTTCTCTCTTCACTCTTTGGTCATACATAATGCAGGGAGTGTAAATGATCATGCAATTCATTTATTGCCCTCAGTTGGCTTTTGATTTGCTTAAAAACAAGCAAAAGTAACTGAATTTTCTCTCAAGTTGGTTAGAAAAAGCACCCAGAGAGTTTTCTGTTCTGAAACAGATGCAAATGGGAATAGTTACGTTCATTTAAAGAAATAAAATTTAAATGCTTTCTCAGAAAAGGAAGCTCTTCAAATGGCATTTTGCAATACATTAAACCTGCCATTTTATTTTCTACAAGGCATTCATCTGGCAATAGTTGTGATTTTTTTTTTTTAATTTTCTCTCCTGGAAGGAAATAAATTCCATAACACTTTTGTTTTCTTTTCCCTATTTCACATTTTAGATGAAAAATAATGGAAAGAGTTTTTAAATAGGGTGGACTCCCAGTTTGAAGTTTGTTCACCTGAGCTGACACTGGACTGTTCTTCCCTGCATAAATGTCTCTATTTAAAACAAGTAGCACTGGAAGTCTCCATACTACCAGGCAGAATCTCCACATACAAAGTATAGCTTGTCTTCATATTGCCTTCCATTCTTGGCTTTGTGCAATATCTAATTTCTTTTCTTGTGTCGTGCATCACAACCAAAGCTGAGCTATCCTAAAAGCAGCCGCTGTCCACTCTTTTGAAGAAGTATGTGAGCCTACTATTTGTTTGCCACCATTTGACAATTCCTTGTGTGCCTTCTCAAAGAAATCGCCACGTGACTTCAAGACAGCTATGCTTTCAGATCCTAATCTGAGTGTTAACTCTTCGTGTTACAAGAGCACAATACATTTATCTGCCATCTTTTGGCTTTTCCTTCAACCATTTAATAGTAAGGCTAAGACGTCAAGTCCTCATCATGTGATAGGCGCTGTACTAGAAATATTTATTCTTCACAGTAAGCTAGTAATGTAGGTACTATGTTGTAGGAGGTGAGGGAAGTGAGGCACACAGAGGTTAAAATGACTTGCCTAATCATCTGAGGTTGGGAGTTCAAGACCAGCCTGACCAACATGGAGAAATCCCATCTCTACTAAAAATACAAAATTAGCCGGGCATGGTGGTACATACCTGTAATCCCAGCTACTCGGGAGGCTGAGGCAGGAGAATTGCCTGAACCTAGGAGGTGGCAGTTGTGGTGAGCCAAGATTGTGCCATTGCACTCCAGCCTGGGCGACAGAGTGAAACTCTATTTCAGAAAACAAAAAAAACAAAGCAAAGCAAAACAAAAACAAAAAATGACTTGTCTAAGGTCACACGGCTTGTATGTGATAGAGCCAGGAATCAAATTCTGTCTTCCAACTCCTCACCTTGAAACACTACAAGACGCTTCCTCTCCCAAGTGCTGGTTACCATGTCACTGCTGTTGTCAGAGCAGTACAGGTTGAGTATGCCTTATCAGAAATGCTTGGGACCAGAAGTGTTGTAGATTTCAGATTATTTTTGAATTTTCAAATGTTTGCCTTATATATACCTTAGCATCCCAAATCTGAAAATTCGAGCTCTAAAATGCTCTGATGAACATTTCCTTGGAGTCATGTCAGTAATTAAATGTTCTGGATTTTGGAACATTTTGGATTTCAGGTTTTTGGATCTGGGATGCTCAACTTATATCTGTTAGGAAAACAGAGGGGAGAAAAAGGAACTCTTCTGGGAGAATAGAGGGAGCCCATTAAATGATCACATTTGAACAGAAGTATGGGAAGGAAGTAGACAGAGGAAGATAGTTTTTGATGAGATAGAACAGCTTTTTCAAAGACAAATTGGGCAATACAAGAACCATGTGCCGGGGGAGGCAGAGACAGACTGAGGAAGCAGGTTGGGTTATGCTAACATGCAGGCAATAGGGAGCCATTGGAGTTAACGGTGATCCTAAATCTGGAAGTTTACGGCCTTATGTTGCATTGGGGAAAAGTTTATATTGACATCGGTTGGACATACACTTCCTGATACCTACGTTAGGACGAACTGCAGCTTTTTCTTAGCAAGAAACCATTTGCCAACTCAGGCAAGATAAAAGATTTGCGAATGTCAGAGAAACCACTTTCACTGAGTGAAGTCCAAAATCAAGACAAACTTTCTCAAAAAGATTGTTTAAAAGCTATCTTAATTGTCACTGTAGCCATGAGAATGAGTTGGTTTCTAGCACTGACTTACGAAGTGACATGTAAGATTTCACTGATATTTTTCTCAAATTTTATAATGAAAAAGTAAGATGGATCCTTTACTAAGCATTGAAAATTGGAAGCAAATTTCTCACATATTTGAGGTGCATTAACTCTTCCATTTGAGAGAACATTTTTCTACATGAAAGGTTTTATTTATATCAGATAGGTGAATACTTTACTTCAAAGAGTACGTTTTTTACGGTTTGGAAAAACTGGACCAGACTGCGGAGCTATTAAAAGCATCTTAGCAATCATGAATCTAACTATATGCAGCATGAGAAAGCAAGAATCCTCAGGACTGAAGTACTTTATCTACCCCATGCTTTTTAGTATAGTTATGTGAAATCAATAAATTTGATGATAAATTTAGTTTTCACATTTCCCTGAAAGGAATGGAGCAGAATGTAAAGGCTGAAGATTCTTCTGCAGTAAAATCCCTATACATATTGCATTGCATTCCACCACCCCTGAAAAA